AATATGATAAAAAAAAGAAGGAACTTAGATTCAATTCCAGTTTGCGTTGTAATTTGTGTCTTTGGAATATTTTGTCTTGTGAATGCTTATTTTATCACGTCAGCGTAATGCCCTTCCTTGAATTTTGTGACACTGCTGCTGCATGGCTGTGAAGTAGCAGGACTTTGTGATACAGAACCTTAAAAATTTGTATTGCCTTTCTTATGAATAATAACAATAAACGAAGAACAAAGCAAGCTAATTGGCTTTGCTATTGCTACTGAGGGAAGAAAATAACAGATACAATAGTGAAAAAGAAATTAAAATTCTCAGAATCCACACGATGTCTGCGTCACGAGAGAGAACGAAAATTTTAAATCTACAAAAATAGATTAACACCTGTCAACTCAGAATTCAGAATCATTACAAAGATGCCAACAAATGTACAGACTTTGCATTTCATAAAATGCCTTTCTTCCATCATAAGCCAAATAATCGTCATCGTAACAGGAGAACATCAGAATCAATATATATATATATATATATATATATATATATTGTTTATTTATGCAACATTCCCGCTTTCTTACATGTATAGTTAATATTATTGAGTCTTGGCTTTTCCTTGTTTATTATTATAGCTTCCAATAATTTTAATATTTATTCCTTGTGGATGAGGCTATTATGCTTTTACTTTATATTAGTATGTTTTGGATGGAGTCTGGTAATTTTTTTGCGAGTGTTTAAATGAGTGCTAATGGAGCTGTTGTCGAGTAGTTGTAAAGACAATCGTCAAGATAGGCATGTAGTAGTGTGATAAATGTAATTAATTATGACTTTAGTTTGATATATCAAAAATATTAAAAATTCCCTGTTCGCCTCCATGTGCAACCACATGAACGTAAACAAAGATAGTCCTATGAAGTCTTAAAGGAAGAAACGGGCTACACGATTATTCATATATATATATATATATATATATATATATATATATATATATGTATTCATGAATCATTCATACAAAAAAAAAATAGAGGTTAATGATTTAAATGGCGAGAATACATCTTCGCAAACAATATAAATAAGATACATCAACCCCGAACATGTATATGAATGATATGATCCCTGTTTATAAATTCCAGTTGCATAAGGTCTTTTAATTTTTACAAGCTTTCGTCTGTTCCTACAGACATCCTCAGGTATGGAAGTAGATTTTGTTCTTGTTTTTACTTCTCGGTAATAAGAGGACAACGAAAATTGAAATTAAAATAACTGATCCAGCGTGCAACTTTCGGATAATAAGTCTGACATTACTGTAATTATTGAACAATATAGTTCATGCCACATAGACGGAAAATCTACCAGTAAAAAAGAATTCTCTTTTGTACAAAAACGCACAACCTTAAAATTTACATTCAAACTCAGCGTTGCGACCGCACATTCCAAAACAATAACACATTTCTTGCAGCAGTGCAAGAGAATTTTAGGGTCTTGTCTGCTCCCTTCTGCTGAAAGGGTGCAAATCGACCCCACCAAGCTCATTTTTATGCAGGATAATGCTCCCTGTCACAAATCAAAACTGATGAAGGAATACTTTGATGAGAAGCAGGTGAGTGTTATGACATGGCCGCCCCAATCTCCTGACCTCAACCCCATAGAAAACTTATGGAGCATGTTGCTCAACTGCTTTCTCGAGTGCCTGTTCTTTATAATGTTCCTTTCAGAAGGGAGCAGACAAGATTCAAATTCTCTTGTACTCCTCGCTCCGGAGGATCTTTTCAATAGGTTTTAAGAAAAAGAAAAGCATCACCAGAACATTATACTGAACGAATGCTTGACTACTTACTGCGAAATTCAAAGAGCTTTCAAAGCTGCTTCTTCGGATTTTAGATCGCTTATCCTTTGAATTTAGCTCAACTTTCGTTTCATCGGAGAAGAGAACATTTAGTAAAAAAAATCAGGTGAGTCACTTTTATCAAACAGCACTGTATATATATATATAAATCATATATATATATATATATATATATATGATGTATATATACATATATATATATATATATCATATATATATATCATATGTATATATCATATATATGATATATATATAAAAATATATATATATACGATATGTATAGATAGATAGATAGATAGATAGATAGATAGATCGATCGATCTCGCTACAATGTGCGAGGCATGGTGGGTCTTAGCCATGGAAGAGCGATAGAGCAGCGGCAAGCTTGCCACATTTTGTCTGTGAAAAGGGGGTTGTATTTATTACGTGAACCGGAAGCGAAGAAACACGAGACTATATCCAGATAACACGAGAACATCTCAGCCTAAAGGAAATCCACTGGCGGCACCATAATTTCTTTGCATTCAGTGGCATTCAAAGATTATTCTTTACCAGAACGTTTAAAAGACGTGTGGGACGAAATAAATCTAGACAAGGAATATGACGTATGATTTTGGCAAATGAAAATCGGTTTATTCTACATTCGGGTATCGGCTGAAAAGTTCAAAGTTTGAACATGATATTGCTCATGGAATATACCCAAATCAGGATTATTTTAAAACATATTCTGCCTTGGTGTCCACACACTTCTTCCATTCATGTTGCAGTGGCCAGGATCCCATTGATGATGAAGAATTCATACCGTTAGTCAAGAAAGTTAAAAGCAGTATAAATGACGTCATTATCACTTTTGTCCGTTTTCGTACTAATCAGGGAAGTAGTTCGAGCCGCTTTGGAATCTTGAATGGTCTCCGGGCGAAATCACCAAACGAGTCCCGTGGTATGACGTTTGCGATGTATAGAAAACGGTCCGGGTTCGATTCTCGGTAGTGGATTCGCACTACTCACGTCCGTCCAGTGCTTTCTGCATTCTGTTGAGGATTATTCTAGACTCATTGCTATAATTACATATATATATATATAGATAGATAGAGAGAATTAATATAAATAAAATGTTTGTCATTTATTGATGTTACTTTCAGAATCCTGATTTCAGAGTTTCGTAGATGCACCTCTCCGTCCACTCGTCAGGGGCTAAATTGTCTAGGTATTTCCTTCCAGAGTGTAGGTCCCCCCCCTCCTCTATATCGGGAATATTCACTCATTTCTTCTCCTACCTTTTTTCTCTTCCCCATCAAAATTTTCGTACATTCTTCTTCGTTTATGTGCCGTGCTCCTTCATGAAGTTTGTAATCATGGCTCTCCACAATTTCCTATCCTTTACAACCCTTAGTAAACTTTTTCTTTTCACTAGATCTCTTATTCCCTGTTCTGCCAACATTTACACAAAGTTCTTAGGTAGCTGTCCTTATTTCCTTCGTTCTGCAATAGTCAAATAATAATAATAATATGGAACAAGAAATCTTAATATACCCACAGACATAACAAGGTAGTGGCCTCTGTGTATTGGAAGATATGCAAGGAGCACAAAATCGAAACCACTGAGAGATGGCATGACCACCAACCAGACATTTAACCAAATAACGATGTAACTATCCTCTGGGACATACCAATTGAAACTGGCAGGGAAATAAAAGCCAACAGCCCTGATATTATTATAAAAGACAAGAAATCCAGGAATTATATGCTTATTGACATAGCAGTGCCCATCTAAAAGAAACACCTCCATAAAAATTATCTAGAAATTGTCCAAGTACAAGGACCTGGAGATTGAGATTAACAGAATGTGGGGAATGAAGACTGAGACTGTACTAGTAGTCATCGGAGTACTGGGATTTGTAATAAAAGGGATGGGAATTCTTACTAACAGTATCCCAGGTAACATCAGCATAAAGTTACCCAGAATACCGCCTAACTAGGAACATCCCATATACTAAGAAAAATGCTATCAATTAAATGACAATTCTGCTATAGGTCCTAAGGACTATAATTTTGACCCGGATCTAGGAGATGCAAAGCAGGAAAAATAACATACACAAATAATACTCAACTCTTCCGTTGAAAACGATGTATGAGGATCAAGCAGATTAGTTCCCAGGAAACCGACAGCTCGACAACAGCACATGAGATTTGATTATAGTGGTTTCGTGCAGGACCCTCCACACTTTTTGAAGGGCCGAATACAGAGACCTGGTGCACTAAGTGCCAGAAGGTCCCCAAACGACCCTCCGCAGGTGTTGAATTCAGAGTTGTCCTTCTCCTAGACCAGTTGCCATCCATGGCTATAGAATCCAGTCTGCCCATCGCACACATATAATAATAATAATAATAATAATAATAATAATAATAATAATAATAATAATAATGTTCGTGCTGTACACGTGATAATAATTTTTTTGTATTTCTTTAAGGCATGGGTTACCAGGATACCAACCAACTCATTAAACAAATTCCTGTCTTAAAGAAATACAAACAAATATTTCCACGAATCCAGCCAACACCTTTCGAAGAACTTTATCTATGCAAAAAAATTTTTGTTTGTTTTTTTGTTTTTTTTAATTGCTCATTGGAAAATGTCAACATGCCATTTCTGACGTTAGGTCTCTGGTTGGGACCCCGAAAGAAATGAGTACACACCAGAAATCAAAAGAAATAATAATAATAATAATAATAATAATAATAATAATAAAAGTTATTGCATTGTTTTGTAATTAAACCAATAGAAGTACGATGAGAAAAAAATTGTTAAAAATCGGAATTTTTGGACAAGGCTGTGTCCTTACTAAATGAAAAAAAATGAATTCGATGTTCTTATTCTAAATTTTTATTATATAATCTATCCCATTTCATTTCGATTTTTTCGTTTTCAAAAAAGAAATCTAAATGAAATCGGTTAAATTTTAAAGAAAATTAAAAAAAGAAAAATTAAAATTTCCAGCACTCCACGTTCGTGCGCATGTGTAGCCACAACAATATAGCAAATTTAATCTGATGCACTCCCAAAGGACAAAAAGCTTCATGCGAAAACTTTTCAACCTGGTCATATATTTTCCCCCAATGTTTTTCATGATATAGAAAAATTTATATATCATTATGTCACATTATA